AGCAGATCTCATTCTAAGGATGTTTTTCCTGACATTTAGTCTGTATTTCTTTCCACTCCTGGTTACAACTCTTTGTTTTCCACTCACTTGTTCTTAATTACCATTATTTAATGACTGATTTACAGTCAATCATATACTTAGCTTTATCTGGTCTTTAACAAATCCATTAATGGCAGGGAACATTGGCTGCAAACACCTCCCTTCCTCCTTCCCCCAAACATATTTTGTTTGTGTCTCTATTTTATTATCATTTGTTGCCAATGAATAAGATATACTGAAAAATGTCTCTTTAGGTATGAACACAGCATCAGGAGAAAGGAACAAAATTTAGGACATTTGTTTATGAACTTTCCTTTATTCGTGTAACTTCGGCAAGAGTGAACTTTAAAGTCTGGGTTTAGAAACGATATAGGATTACAAGCAAGCTTAGTTGTGCAAAACACCAGATGCACAGGAAGCGGGGAAAGCATGCATGCACCAATTATAAAAGCTGATATCTTGACATGACAGATACCACTTCCTTAAGTTCATCTTAGGAAAAAACCTATGACAAACCTGAAGAAGTTCTGGAAACAGAGGACAACTCACTTAAGCAAAAGAACAGGAGAGAAAGCAAGAAGGAAAACTTGAGTAATTTACAGGTGAAAAAAGGGAGCAAGTTAGCTGATGTTCACAGGTTTAATTCCTCTCCTGCAGGTTTAAATCTTCTGAACGTGAATTTTTTGGGTGTCTGTGTGCACTAATGCCCAAGTCCTGAGCTATAATCCTGTTCTGCTGCCAATGAACTGTTTTGTTCAAAAACAAATAAAATGAAGTAGGAACAGTCTTAAAAATCAAATACATTTGCTACACAAATACTATTGCAAGACTGCATACTTTTAAAAAAGGCCTCTGGGTATTGCTCACTCTAGTACAAAGATCAGTTGGACCCTCATACTTGCAATGGATTAAAAAAAACAAACAAAAAAACCCAACTATAAAAATCAAAAAGATTCCATCATGTTATATGCCAGAGTAGTAAATATACTGGGCTTTGCACCATTTATGAGGACCCTCATTTAAAGAAAAAAAAAAAAAAAGGAAGAAGAGAAAAAACAGTCCTTAGTTGCTGGAAGAATAGCACTGTCACGATCCCTGCTGTTAAAGGAAAATAAATATGAATACCAAACGTACAAGGGAGAGCATATAAGTTGCATTATTTTATTCAAGGAGCCAAACAGAGGCACCTTGTCCTTGTGGAGAGAGAGAAAAAACAACCACCACCACCACAAGCAGAGAAAACTAAAATCCAAAACACACACACTGCTTAGCATTTGCTGCTTTTCCTCATCGATTCCAAATTTCTTAGGATTCCTCTCTGATAATCTTGCATCCTGTCAGACGCCAGTTTGGAGCATATGAACCCTTCTACAGGAGAAATCACACTGCAGTCTGTTTAAACTCTTCCTAGTGAAAGCAGCAAGCCCGACCCACACAGCAGCAAGCCCGACCCACACTGCTTTAGACAATGTACACATGTGGGTGACGTTGGCTGAAGACCAGCAGGAAACAGACTGCAATGCATACAATTTCCAACAATGATTAGGAAATAAAAGGTGTGGTATAAGATTCAGCACAGATGCCAGAATTGACAACAAGGTTGTTCAGATAGATGAAGTATTTCATATGCTTATCATAGCTAGAAATTAAGCAGACAAAACTTTTATCTCTTTTTATTGTATATTAATATGCACAAGCAAGAGCAAAACACATATACTCATCTATGCCATCAACTATCAACATTATTCATTAAAAAGAATAGGCACAAAATCCTCCCCACATGTGAAGACGGTGGAAAAACACAATATGTATGACCAGAAAGGACCAACAATTTTAGAAATAACTTTATCAGGATGTAACAGCGCTACCACACAGAGGAAGCAAAACATTAATGTAAAACCAGCTGCCTATATTAAAGAAAAGCCATAAGGACCAATATATTTCATTTTTTACCTATACTTCTTTGAACAAAGGATACAATCTGTTCTTCTTTGAACTGCTACAGATATTACTGCCACTTAGCTTAGGGTTATGGAAAACTACTCTACTGAGGTTCATGAAACTCTGAAATCCCTGGATAAAAAGCACAATATAAATCAATTATAATTCTGTGTGCATCATAACCAGCACATGTAAGTACCTACCTGGCACTTGTTTAGATTCTTTCATTTCTTTTATATCTTTAATATAGAGTCTTGCAAATGCAGAAAATACAGGATCCAAGCCCCAGAGCAGAGAAGGCGTCTCTTCTTCATACTTCTTGGACTCAGACTGCATTCAAAACCTGCAAACACAGGAAAACTTGGAATTTTTGTCTACATAGGTAACATACGTTCATGTGTTCCAGCCGAAAGAAAAAATAGCCTGTGATTTTACACAGTAGAGCTATAGCATGTGATTTTACACAGTAGAGCTGATGAAGAGACTGTGTTCCGAAACTATAGTTTTTCTCTGCCACACAAACATATCTAATACAACATTACATTTGCATCACCAATATGAAATACTCACAATATCAACCCTGACAATTTACTTGAAGTCATTAGACCAGCCAAAGCTTTTTCCCCCAACTCCTTTGAATGAACCAATTTTAGGGATTTCTCCTCTATGGAAACAGGAACAGAGAACTGAAATACACTACTTCCTAAAGAGAACAGGATTGTGGGATACTAGTTTGTTACTTTCTACTTCATTTACTCATCTTCTAATGTTTTCTTTCTCTTCCATAAGATATTTTTCTCCTTGCTTACTCTTCGTGTTTTACTAGGGGGGGGAAAAAAAGCTTATTTTATAGACAATAAGCGAAAGCAACCAGTCCTGCTCTGTTTTGGGCATGCAGTTCCCAACAACTTTGTATTGGGGACTTTGTATGGGGGGGGGGGAGTTTTCCCTCTGTATAATGCCTGCTATCTTATGCCATCACCATAGCTAAATCTCTGCTTTTCACAGAGTCGGTTTCAGAAAAATACAGCACTATTTAAAAAGATTTGTCCTGAACACCTTGTAGGTATTTTGAGACTGAATATACCTATATTAAATTGTTTCTGCAAAGCTTTCTAGGACACCCTAGAATGAAGGGGAAGAGGGGAGGGTGAGCAACTTTAGAGTTGTAGGCAAAGGTGGTAAGTAGACAGATTTTGAATACCGTTATAGGGCGGTGGGGTGGAGGCTACAGTCTCTTGAGACTGAAATAACTCCCTGCTATAGGTTTCCATTGATCTCTGCTCTCTGCAGGAGCCACTTTCTCACATAGAAAACTCATGCCATGAGCATTATGGCAGCATCTTGCGTCTTTGGGAAACAACATCTCCTGGCTTCTGCTCAATTTCTTTTCTCAAACTTTAATTTGGGATGGAAAATCATAGCGTAGCACAGCATGCTAGAAATGTAGCTAACGGCTACTCTACTCTGTGTAGAGAACTGCAGGAAATAATTATATTTATTCCCAACATAGGTATTCTACATTTCTTCAGCAAAAGGTTAGTGATTTTTTGATCTTTCCTAGACTGATCATTTGTTTTGTAAGAAGTTGAAAGCATTTGCTTGTTTCTGTCCCACCAGTCACTTCCCCTTTAAGTAACAAACTCAGTGTTTTTGTTTATACATGTATTCGTACCTCCCCTCTACAGGCAACTTTTCCAAACTCACCCTTTTTGCACATGCAGTGCCTACCCAAAAACTTTTCACCATCCTCTTCTCACTCAGATCTCCCCACAAAACACACTGCTGCTGCTGCATTACAGATGCTGCTCAGTAGAAGTTTATAAACTAAACTGTTGACTGTATGATCATAATAATATAATGCTGCATGAGAGGCCACACGGCAGTTCTTCATCCGCTTGCTATAGCCTGTATCAAATTTAGGCTGTAAACTTTCCCAAGCAGACACATGGTTTGAACTTGTATTTTACCTAGCACACTTGTGTTCATGACGGGTACTGGTCCCTCTGCTTCCTCCTTGCAGGTTCTAGTACACAGTTGCCTGCATCACACTCTCTACACTACACTGCTTTTACAGCTTCTATAAATAAATGAGAGAGAGAGAAATACACACACACACGTTCTTTTCTGCACCCCTTCATGCTTAATACTAACTGCGTCATAGCTGAACACTAGGTTTTTCGATAACGGACTGAACTAACAAGCAAAATGATGAGAATTAGGCAACAAGCTTAACGGTATTTTTGTGCGTTTTGCATGAATATCCATTAATTGGAGTAAAATGCAAAAGTTACTCTTGCACTTGTGTACATCTCTGGGGGAATTAATGAAGCAGAACCACTGGAGATGAAAAGCCCTACATTGTATCAGTTTCCTAAACAACTGAAATGCTCAGATGTTCACAGATCCAGAGGACAAGAATTAACCAGAAGTCCCAGCTTATAAGAAAAGAAGCATCTCCACAGATATTCTACTGCATCCCTGTTCTGAAGGAAGAAGGTCCCAGTACACATTGTTCTATCTTGAGATTAAGGCCGAAATGTGTGGCCCATATTCATATTATGATGGATTTTTGCAGCAAAGGCTCTTTCCTTCCATCTCAGAAAGTCTATTGTGAGCTAAATCTAAATTCTGGAGCTTCACTCTGGCTTACAGGACTTGTTACAGCTCTTCGTAGGGGAAATACACCCTTCACATGCATCTTCACGTACACTACTACTCTACTTGCTTCGAGTCTGCTACAGAAATGCAAAGTCTTAACTTACAGATTTGGGCAACGTTACTTGATAAAAAGTAAATCATCTCCCCACCCCAGCACTATGAAGGCATCATGCAATTTCTTCAAGTCCACAGGACAAAACCTCTGCAACTCTGGCAGGAGTTACAGACAAACCTTACATAGCAGACTGGGATAGTGAAACTGTGCTGTAGCCATTAACTCACTTTCAGCAATGGCTGGCAGGCACACCAACAACAATCTGCAGTGAAGCTCTCCCATGCGTCTTCAAGGCCTTGGCAGTTGTGCCAGCAACTGCCACCACCCAAAACCAAGCTTATTTTCCTTCTTCCTTCCCAAACGGTTCACTTGGTGGCTACATTTGAACAGCAACCCATTTAAAACCAAAAGCTTGCGGCCTGCTGGGGAGCAGACATACTTAGTGTCCTCTGTACTGTCTGCTGCACCCCCTCCCAAAGTTTTAAGTTCGTTCTTCTGCTGGTGTGGAACTCTACAATAATTTTGTTTTGAATTGTGCCCTTAATCTCAGCTTGTGATGTTAACAGCAGTTGTCTCTTTTTTGTCTCCTGTAACAAAGGAAGATGTTAACAGAGACAAGCAACTCTTTTCAAGGTACCTATTTTTCAGTTAGTTTCCAAACTTGTTTCACGTGGACTGATAGTCTTAGAAAAATAATCCTTACAAGGCAGATAAAAACACTTCTAATCAATGGTCTCTTTTCCTGTAGAATAGTATATTCCCATAACTCTTTCTTAAACTGGCACAGGAAGTCTCTCCATCCCAGGTGAAGTATCCCAGGGGTTAATTAATTTGTGAGTCACTCTGGAGAAAGTGGAACTTTCCATTATGCAGAAGTGTTTTCAGTTCCTAATTGGTATTGTTGGTGATATGTTATCAGCAAGGAGATAACAGCTACTCTGTACGATGAACATCCAGGGGGCAAACAGCAGGCACTCTGGAGATGCAGAGTGTTACGATCCATAGCACAGATTGCTAAGAACAGGCAATTCTAAACAGATAGTATATGCGCAAATGTTTAAGTACTAACTGACTTTTGCTGAAACACGGAGACAAGGCTTTGCAGTACTAACAACACAGAGTCCTAGCAAAAGGTTAGCCTTTTCTGCATGTCGTTCTAAATGCAGTGCAATGACTTCCCGGTTGCTGTAGTACAAGGAATTCAATCCTGCCGGGGGCGGGAAGAAGCAAGAGAAGCATCTGGTTCATGAGTTTATTAGATATAAAATATCCGTATCCTATTTTGGCTTCTCTATAAAATTATCTCCAAAGAACAGCTATAAAGGCACAATCAAAACCAAAAAGTCCACTGTTTGAACCACTTCTCTGTGGGAAATGGTTCTGTTCCAAAGGCAGAAATCTGTACTTTACATGGCAGCTATCTAAAAACAAACAAAAAAGCCCTGATTTGAAACTCTTCTAGAGACTACCCTCTTCAAATAAAGCTGGCTGCCTCACCTACGGCCGTTAACGTTAGTGAGGATTAAAGCAAGTCCATAATACTCAGAGTTCTCTTGTGAGCTGAGCAAGGTATTACCCTCAAAGGGCAGAGGCCAAGGAAAATTGGCAGCTTTCCCAACAACTGTCACCATCCTACACCAAGGCCACTCTTCCTTTCTTCCCAAATGGCCCATTTGGTAGCCTTGTTTGAATAGCAACCCCTTTAACACCCAATTGATTTGTCCAACAGATCCTGCCCAAGACAATAAATATTTTAGTTTCTACTCCTCTGTTCATGCTGTACCTTTTTCAAGAAAACAATCAACAATTAAAAAATGGTCTTCTTCCAATCTCAGTAAAACAAGAACCCAAGGAAGAGTATTTATGTTGTTGTTTCCCATAGTCCAGTCTCCAGATGTGATCAACAGCCAAAGATCTTGGAAGAAATTCCCTGAGTTCCAAAGAAATCATTTGGAGCCATACATAGACAACCGCTGGCAAGATTGTGTCTGCCACCGCTTGCCAACCGCTGCAAAGATCCTTTCTCAAGTCAACAGTGAATCAGATGCAGAGGATATTTACCTACCAATATAGACAGATTAAACATCCCACCAGGCATTCACTCTTCTCCAAAGGCTGCCACTGCTATACTAGTACCAAGGTTTTATACAGGAAGCAGCTCCTGAATTGCTGTAGTTAGCAATCCAGTGCATTAAAGCAACTTAAAGTCAGGCTTGGTTTACTCGAATACAGCAGGCTACAAACTGTGGCTGCTAAGAAATGCTTCATGGGTCAGCCATTTCTGCCACAGAGAAAGCAAGCTGTGGCAAGTGGGACAGAGTAAACAGCTGGGTGTTGCAACCACCTCAGCCATCTGAATTGAACTCATCTGTGTTCAAGTCAACGCTCTATGCAACAAATAATATTATTCAATTCTTCGTTAACAGCAGAGACAATTCCAACATGATACAGTTAAAAAAAAACAGTATTTCAATAAATGGCTTTAATTATCCAAAGTCACATAGACCATTTTTTAAGGGAAAAGAAACAAACCAACCCAATATCTTATCATACAAGTTGATCCCAATGAACTGGAACTGCCTTCTGACAGATAATATTGAATAAAGATTCTAAAACTGAAATTCATC